TCCTCATGTATGAAAGCAAATATGCACAAGCTTCCTTTCTGTGATGCTAAGCTTAAGAATTACAACCCATTGAATGCATTCACTCAGATTTATGGGGTCCTGCACCCGTTAGATCTTTTCAAGGGTATCATCATTATGTGTCTTTTATTGATTATGGCTCAAGAAACACATGGGTTTATCTGTTAAAGAACAAGTCTGATACTTACCAAGCCTTTCTGCATTTTAAAAATTTTGTTGAAACCCAATATCCTAATAAAATCAAAGTGTTCCAAAGTGATGATGGAGGTGAGTTCACTGCCTTAACCAAATTTTTCCATGATCATGGCATCAAACACCAAATATCTTGCCCTTACACCCCAGAACAAAATGGCTTGGCTGAAAGAAAACATAGACACCTCATCCAAATTGCTCTTTCGTTACTATCTGATTCTCACTTACCTTCAAGACATTGGGATGATGTTGTCTGTGCAGCATACATCATCAACAAAACTCCAAGCAAACTTCTTCACCACAAGTCTCCCTTTGAAGTCCTTAATGGAACTAAACCAGACTATTCTCTCCTGAAACCTTTTGGTTGTTTGTGTTATCGACTTTTAAAACCATATAACACCAACAAACTTCAATTCAAAAGTGAACCCAGTGTCTTTCTTGGTTACAGTTCTAACCACAAAGGGTATAAAGTCCTTTTGCCCAATGCCAAACTTATCATCACCAGGCATGTTGTATTTGATGAATCCCAGTTCCCATACATGACAAAGAAAACCAACCCGAAAACACAAGAAGATACTCAAAACCACAACACCATGACCACCTTTCATGATATCTCCATTCCTGTTTCTCAAACCACTATTGACACTACCCTCCCTCCCACACCTATTCCCTCACCTTCATCTACACATCACCAGCAAATAACTCCATCCACATTTCAAACTAATTCTTCACCACCTGACCTTACTGGACAACTCTACATAGACTTACCTATTGAGATTGATATGCCATCTGATTCATCTAATCCTGTTGTTGATGAGCCTCCTCAGGATAATGTAGGTAGACATCATATGGTCACCAGAGTTAAAGATGGCATCAGGAAGCCAAAGGTTTTCACAATCTCCACCCATAATCCTCATTCTGAACCAAAATAAGAAAGAGCAGCTTTGGATGATCCAAATTGGAGAGGTGCAATGCAAAGAGAATATCATGCATTGTTAAAGAACCACACTTGGGACCTTTGCAGCTTACCTAACAATAAGACTCTCATTGGTTCTAAATGGGTGTTCAAACTGAAACACAACTCAGATGGGACACTTGCTAGACACAAGGCCAGATTAGTGGCAAAGGGGTTCACACAGTCCTATGGTTTTGATTACAATGAGACTTTCAGCCCTGTTGTCAAACCTACTACTGTTAGGGTGGTTCTCAGCATGGCTTTGGGCTTACATTGGCCAATCAGATAGGTAGACATAGATAATTCCTTTTTAAATGGAACTATTGATACTGAGTTGTACATGGAGCAACCCTATGGATTCATAAGTCCTGGTAAGGAAAATATTGTTTACAAAATGAAGAAATCAATTTATGGCCTCAAGCAGGCCTCAAGAGCATGGTTCAACAAGCTTGGATCAGTTTTAGCCTCATTAGGCTTCACTACATCACAGGCAGGCACTTCTCTTTATCACAAGCACCATCAAGGCAACACCACCATTATTTTGGTCTATGTTGATGATATGGTTATCACAGGCAATAGTGGTTTAGAGATTTCCAAGTTAATCAAACAGCTAAGCCAGCAATTCTCTCTTAAAGACCTGGGAAAGTTGAACCTATTTTTAGGCATAGAAGTTCAGCATACTCCAGATGGTCTGTTCTTAACTCAAAAGAGATACATTAAAGATCTCTTTCACAGATGTGATATGGCTGCTTCAAAGGCTGCTCCTACACCAATGACCACTTCCCCCTATTTTATCAAAGTTTGATGGCCAGCTATTTGCCAATCCTAAGTTATACAGGAGCATTGTTGGTGCATTACAATATGCAACCATCACTAAGCCTGAGATTAGTTACAGTGTGAATAAAGTGTCACAATTCATGCAAAATCCTCTTGATCTTCACTGGAAGGCTGTTAAAAGGATTTTGAGGTATTTGGCTGGCACAGCTGATTTTGGGTCTTCACTTTAAACCATGCAAAACATTTAACATCACAGGTTATGGAGATGCTGACTGGGGTTCTGACCCAGATGACAGAAGATCCACAAATGGACTTTATGTATTTATGGGTTCTAACTTAATCTCCTGGAGTTCTAAAAAGCAGGCCATTGTTTCTCGATCTAGCACTGAGGCTGAGTACAAATCTCTAGCACATCTTACATGTGAGATTGTTTGGATACAAAGTCTTCTAAAGGAACTAAGGATTGGCACCAACAAACCAGCAGTTATTTGGATGGGTAACACGGGTACTGTGAAGTTAGCAGCAAATCCTATGTTTCATAGCCGCACCAAACACTTGGAAATTGACTTACATTTCATTAGAGAAAAGATTCAATCTCAGCAAATCAATGTTAGACACATTCCTGCCATTGATCAAATAGCAGACATCTTGACAAAGCCCTTAGCTGGCCAGTTTTTCACAAGACTTCGAAACAAGCTCTGCATGGTTTCTACTACCTTGCTCAAACTGAGGGGGGATGTTAGCCTTCATGTCATGCACACGAGCCAAAAGGATCAGCACTCATGCACGTGCCAATTCAGCTCAAATGCATATCAGTTGGAGCTATGTGACAGCTCATGCAAGCAAACAAAACCAACAGCTCACTCATAGTTATTTTTTGAATTTTTCACCTAGTATTTACCTTGTACTAGTTGGATAAGATAGATGCTTATTGTGTGGCCTAGATTAGTTGATCTAGAATGATCCCAAAACCTAGCTACCTAGTATAAATCTCTCTCTCGCTGCTCAATCTCTATACACACAAAAAACATTGCAATACAAAATCATTTTGGTAGACAAGCTCTTACATTCTTTTTTTTTGATCTTTTCTTGAAGTGGCTCATACCATATTCTTATACGTACCCCCCTTCTCATATGGTTCGATTGGCAAAAAAATAGATGACTGCAAATAATTTCGAGTTTTCACCAACCGTCCGCTTTCACACCGCCGTTAGGCTGGGCAACCGCGAACTCAGGTCAGATAAGCATCACCTTTGAGAGCCTTCGTCAGTCCGGGCCTCGTGCGTTGCGCTGCCGCTCATAGCCCCGCCGAAGTGGATCTCAACGGATCCAAAATTGAAAGGTAATTTTTAAAATTTGTGAAATTGTGCGCTGTGAGAAATTGTAGAGAAGAAAACAAGGATCGAAAGAACGAAAGAAGAAGAAAAAGATGAGGATGTTAGAGAGAGAGAGAGAGAGAGAGAGAGAGAGAGAGAGAGAGAGAGAGAGAGAGAGAGAGAGAACACTGCTGAAGGCGTAAAGAGATGATGGTGAGAGAGAGAGAACAAATAACGACATTAATTGTTGAAAAAATGCCATGTAGAACACGTAATTTTTTATGAAAAGTTTATCTGCTCGTAATTTTGATATTATTTCCAGAAGCAATTGTAAAGAGTGTAATTTTCTCTAACTTCTAATCTAGATATACTTCTGTTGCGTATATCATATTTTGATTATAACACCTTATAAATGATGCCTCATTGATTTAATTTGGGTTCCATAACTTTTGAAGTTTTACCAAATATTTTTTATTACCGACTCTCGAGTGAAAATACTGTATAACCATTAGGTGGGTCGATCAATCATAACTTTATAGAAAAAAAATAGACACTAAAATACTATAAATTATCGTAGGTTTTTATGTTGTTTTGTAGAGCATGACACCTTAATTTTAAAATATATACATGTGTTGGCAAATTATGGTTATCTCCCATAAGTTAACTAACTAGTAGGCCATGAGGTAGCGGCATGTTGGCCAGACTGCTACAATATACTCATATTCCTCATAATACAGTATATATATCGACTTTCTTAGATTCAAAGAGATGATTCCACTTAGACTTATCCCCGAAATTCTAATCCCATCATCTTAAAGTTGTTTCTAGGTGAGACTATGTATGAAGAACTCGAATAATTTAAGGTGCAATTTATATAAGGTACAATTTTTTTTACACCCGACCTGAAAATATATCAAGTTTTTCATAATCTACTTTTTCACTCCGAAAAAATGGGAAAAAAAAGTTTTTTGGTTCTTTATCTGCAGGCCGTTTTCAATTTGATCCCGTAAGTGGACTATTTTTGGAAATAGTCCCCTAACTGAAAAAAAATTAGTTTTTTGGTCCTCTGACCGCATATATCAGGTCACTATGACCGGCTGAGCTACGTGGAAATTCGCCTAATTTTTTTTTTTGCTGAGTTGTAATGCCACGTGGCGCTTATGTGTAATAGTTGAAAAAATGTGCTAAGAAGGGGATTCGAACCCAGGACCAATGGGGCATAAATAGAGTTCATGAACCACTTGAGCTAGCACCCATTATGTTAATTATTTAGCTTCAATTATATATCTACCAACATAGTTTATATATATATTATTCAATTTGTACTACTTTTAATAATAAAAAATTATGCATATATTATTAAATTCATTTAATTTTATTAATATATTTAATAAATATTTACTAATGAGTAA